TGGCACCATTCTATAAGTGACAATCTCCCCCTAATGTGAAACGCAGCTGGACACATAAAACAATTTTGAGGCGAATCCGACAGAGCTGTTGTTTCCAGATGTCGAAGGATTCCAGGCAGCGTAAGGTCAGTCAGGCTTCGTTGAGCCTTTTCTCTCCCATCCTTAGCGCACAGGGGTCCCGCGGGTGTCGCAACAGGAAGGTTCAAGTAGTCAGATTACCCTCTAGAGGCTGCTTACCAGCGCAAAGTAGATTTAAGGTTACCACACATTACGCAGGAGCAAATCCCTAAATCACACTTGGTCCTCAGGTAATTCTAGTGCCGTGCGAAAGAGGGCTTAAGGTGTGCTAAAGTAATTTAAAGATTGACAAATTACTGAGCTACGGTAACTAAATCACGCTTTCTCCAGTTTCACTCTACTTTCAGAGTGTTACCTTAATCTGATCTCACTCGAATTATTAAAATACTTACATGGAAATAAAGAGAGGCTGCAAGGTGGTGCGATGGTTAGCACCTCGCAGCAAGAAAGTCGCCAGTTTGCGTACCAGTGAGGACACCCAGGATCTTTCTGCGTGGAGTTTGCATGTTCTCCCCGTGCAGCGTGGGTTCTCTCCGGGTTCTCTGGCTTCCTCCCACACAGTCCAAAAACATGTTGAGGTTAATTGGTGATTCTAAATTGTCCGTAGGTGTGAATGTGAGTGTGCTTGGTTGTCTGTCTCTAAGTGTAGCCCTGTGATAGACTGGTGACCTGTCCAGGGTGTCCCCTGCCTTCACCCTGAGTCAGCTGGGATAGACTCCAGCCGCCCATGACCCTGGTGAGGATTAAGGTGTAGAGATGATGGATGGATGGAAACAAACAGACACACAGAGCGTCAAAATAATCTCAACTCAAAAACCATTTAATAGCTGTTCTTCATCTTTTGATCATTTACCACAAGATCTTCATCAGCAGACAGAGTTTTCCCAGATGTTGTTTGAATCCTAAGCAACATCCCATTTAGTGACTGTTGCTATGAAGCTTTCAGTTGGGACTTGCAGCTTACAGTGATAATCAAAGTAGATTTATTACGATTAATTCTCTATCATCTATCAGACAGTGTGTCCTTGGTTTCAGACAAAGGTAGACAAAAGCAGGTTCCTAAATGTAAGACACTGACTGTTGACTTTCCACGCTTAAACTGTCACTAGTGTATTTTCTTAGACCTTACCAAGTGGCTTATTGCTCCATGAGATCTTGGAGGGGAAAGGACATAAATATGAACTTAATGGCTGCATAGAAATTATGCAAAAAAAAACCTCATTAGAAACCAAGTGAACATACTCACTGGGAACAACATTGTGTTTGTTATCCATAAAGCAAGACAGCCCGTATGTACTGCAGATTATAATAAGCAAAAAGTTAAGATCAGACAGTTATGTTGTAGGTTTCAACATTACAAGAGAAAAGACTTTGAGGATGAGAACTAACCATTGTGTTTGGGAAACAAAACTACGAGGACAGAGTCCTTCAGATTGAAAGTGGATAAAAGAACCAGCCCTGACACAGTGAGTAAATAGGCTCCTACAAAGTGGATGTTCCCATTGTGAACTGTAACATAATAGTTGATGCTAAGTTGCTTGGTTGGTTTGGGGATAAAAGTCGACTTTAGTGGGATAACATTGTATGGGAGTTAAGTAGACATGCTATCATTGGCATTATGTGTTAGAGCAAAAAAAACATGTGGTTTAATCCACTTCTTACACTTTTATTCTTGATTTAGTTTTTTCTTTTGGACAATCTGGCAGAACTGGTGTTTAAACAAGACACCACCGTTGCATGCAGAATGCTGCTCTAACTGCAACCCCCATTTACATGACATGCACATGAAGAGAAATCCAAAGCTTCGCCGACCTTCAGTGCCTAGTTACGGTTGCTAAGCTGTTAGACAACTTCTCTTAATGGAAATGGGTTAGCCAATGGCCACTTGTAGATGTTTAGTTTTCTATTTTATCATCATCATATAATAACTGGACCTTGAGGTTTTTGTCAACTGCTATTTCAAAGGTCAAGAGGGAAGTTTGAAGCTCAACTTTAAAGCCGACATGGAGAAAAGAGCATTAATGGGTTTAGGAAATGGAAATGTAAACATCTGCATTATCAAGACAAGTGGGAAAACAGGAAAAAAAAGACCATGAGATGTGATGGAGGGTGCCACAACAACTAGGATATGGTCCTTGAGGCGCTGAACTGCTGTTTGCAAGATCAGGAATAAACTCACCTTACAGAGGGGCTTGAAACCTTAAACATATCCTCTGCAAAGTACCTTCAAAATTTAAAACTATTATCACATCCTCTTCTTCCTCATACTTGTCTTTCTCTGTTTTGCTATAATTTGATTGTTCCCATATGCATACCATTATCACAAGTAAGTAAGTAATAAAGGCTATTTTTGAACTCCATTCAGTGGCTGGTAGTTGAGATGTTGGGGAAGTTTGGCGAGGACAACAAGGGCCCAGCAGGCTGAGAGCCAAACCACAAGTTATGAGGAATACGCTGTAACCAACAAGCTAACAGGAAACCCCACACTACGTCCTTTTTCTAACCTCAGAACTGCCGAAATCTGTCTCTCACCTTTGCCAAAGTGACATCTGGCCAATTCAGTCTCCGCTGTGATGAGAACAAGGGATGACTCACACGAGATATGTGGTTGAAAAGAGATAAAGGGATGATGAAGGGGGCGAATGAAAGAGTGCCGCGGAGCTCTCGTCCTGCCACTCACTTGTCTAATTGCAGTGTCTGTCAGAGGAAACATGTCTCTTCACACAGACAGTTTCATGTTATTTTTCTCCTCCTTTTCCATTACTCCCATCACTCTTATCTCTTTTAGTTGACTGATGTTCTTAACTTCAAATTCTGATGCCTTCAAGTAGAAACTAAATTTGAAATACTTTTCGTTTTGAACAGACTTTATAGATATTATATACCAGGAAAGATATGACAATCTATTAATCACTTTCTCGGAAACAGGGACATGGAGAGTCTGCACTGCGTAGGTTTCTGCTGTGTACACTTTGCTGTGTGGATACTGGAAGCACACTGTACAGTGTATTAAAAGAGCACTCCAGTAATTACATGTCAAAGATAATTTACTAGTTTTGGGGAGTAACTATTCAGAATAAAACAGCTCTTAGTGTGGCTCTGAAGGAGAAAGTCTTAGTAAAAAAAATACCCAAGTGGTGTCACTTAAGTAATCTTGGCCTGTGCTTGGGTGTTTGAAACAAATATTTGGGGTTATTCATGTTGCATAATGGATTTGCTTTAAAATGCAGTCTTTTGGGTAATTAACTAAAACAGTGTATCTCTGTCTCAGCTGCATCGACTTGGACCACAAAGATCTGCCTCTTGCAGGTCCTTTAAAATCTTATGGACTGACTGCTCAAACAAAATCTCTAGATAAATTTTGTACCAGCCTTGAAGAACTGAAAAATTTTACCTCCGTTTGTCAGCGTGCCGGTTTAGTTAGCCAAAATGGCTGAAACAGGCAAAAAATAACATATAACTGCTCTGTTGGTTGGCAGGGGGAATGGTCCATGTGAATGATTTTGCAGGTTAACAAATTCTGAAGTCATTAAAGCATTTTATGGTGCAACTCTGAACACACATTCTGAAAAACTAATATCAAAAGGGCTGTGACTATACACAAATCACGTTTTGGTCTGTTTTTGGTACAGCAGAGAAACTGTAACAAGTGCCACATTTCTTATTATAGCAGTTCAGACACTTATATATGCTGCATACTGTAAACAACAAAAGAAGGAAGGTGTCCTGAAATAAAAAAACAACACATAAGATAACAAATGTCTCATAAGACAAGTGCAACAGCTTCAGAATTAACTTAACTATTAAGGCCAGTAGTGCAATTTCAGCTTTATAAATACACTGTAAAGCCCAGTTGCTTTGGCCATGTTGTTGTCCAGCTTTTTTTTTGTTTTTTAACTCCAGTAATTGTTACATCTAAGAGATACCTCTGAATATGGGTGTGATGAACATTTGGATGGTGCAATAAGTCAGGCCTGTTTGGTTCTTTAAGTAAATGGAGGGAAAGTCCTGCAAATAATATGTTTACCACATTTGCTGTCTAACATAGATGTTGCATGTTTGCCCACCGGGTATGGAAAGATTTTCACTTTCCCTGTATGTTTCATCAAACCAAATTCCTCCTTTAATACTAATTTGTGGGGTATCATCACTGTATCCCGGGCAAAGACAAATGTGTAGCTAATTTGCTAAGCGCTTACATCTTAAGGTTTCCAAGTAGAACTCATGCTATGAAATGTAATTTCACACTAAATTCTTCAATTTTGGTATTACGATAATGTTCAGCGGGAATAAATATTGTGTTACACCCCTACAAAAAAAAAAAAAAACTCCTTCCATCAAACAGTAAGACCACAACACAGTATTTTATACTATGACGCTGTAATAAATAGGAAAAATCGCTTGCATGTTGTGGATAGGTTTTTCTTTTTATTTCATCTCATACCTGTAAAAATAGAATCTCAAAATAAATAAATATATGAAATAAATATACTGTATGTCCTAGGAAACAAAAACTCATAAATAAGAATAAAATCTGTCAAATGCTTGAAAAGGTGTCCTTGTCGGTCCCATCCTCATTGTTTGACTGCAGTCAGTTGAACAACAACACAATTCCTTCACTGGGTTCCCGAATGAGAGTTCCAACAACAACACACAGTATTCCACCACAGAAGAAGTCAGTATGAAACTCCTTGGGACCTGTTCTTCTTCTTCTTCTCTTCTTCCAATGCACTTTGCAGAAAAGTCACATCTTCTGAGCAGCATCTGTCTTTGTTCTAATCGAAAGGAATCCATCCGTGTCATCCCAGCAGTCAGTCCAAGACAGGTGATCCCTCAGCTCTAAGACCCGTTTCCCAGAACAAACATGGCTGCTTTCCAGTGCATGAAACTACCTTTTTTATGTGTAAACCAGTCACACTGTATAGTGGAATATGCATTTTAATTAACTGTTTACATAGCAGCCACAATAATGTTTGAATAAAATAAAAAAGGCCTACTGAAAACAGTGGAAGTGACAAGATTCAGCAGCCATAGCAGGAAAAAGCTACTAGCAGCCAGTGGTTGATCTCAACCATCAAGTCCACACCTTTGTCCTTTTAAACATGCAGTCTGGACCAGCATGTAGTCGGATTTCATTACCAGAAACATAAAGGAAATCCAATAAATCATCTCTTTGGCCACCAGGGCCTTTGCATAGGCCAATAAAGGGGCAATATTTGGGGCCCAGGTAGTCTGTGTCTCTGTCTTGGGGTCTTCATGTCTTTCATAGAAGATCCCTGGTGCTGTTCAGTCAAACTCCCCGACCTGCCTGGTTCTTCCGCTGTGCCAGCAGTGGTGAGCGTGTTGATTTGGTGCACTTTCTTTGATCCTGTTTTTTCCAGATTGACAAGATCGTCCATCTCCCTCAAGAGGGGAGATGAGTTTAGGTGCACTTGATTTGTTTTTCAGCTCAGACCAGCTTTGACAGAGTCAAGCTAAGGCTCCTTCAGTCTCAGCTCTGGCCCAGAATTTCTCTGTACAGGTCTGGAACTCTGTCCGGATCTACAGGCCTCGGGAGGAAGTGAGTGAACCTCTGATGCCGCCTCGACCTCGTTCCGTCCCGGGACGTCCCATCTTTGTTTAGAGCGACAAAGTAAAATGCACCTCTCTCTCCATGTCGGTAGATGTTAGAGGAGTAGGTGTTGTACCAGTTTTCTTCAAATTGCTCCCTGAAAACACATTCCGCCGACAGCTTCTCCTGCAGAGAGGAAGACGAGCAAAGAAGGAGAAAGATGAGTTTAATGATGCAAAATGAGCCACCTGCTGGCTGCGGTTGTGCACGTCAGTCACAGTGAAGCATAGTTTGAGATCTGTGTGCAGATAAAATACTTGTGATGTGTACTTACCGATCCATACAGTTCTCCTTTGCTGTTCATGGCGAGGTAAAGGCCACTGTCTACCCCTCTGATGCTGACCAGTCCCACAGCTAGACTGATGAACTCCAGAATACCTGCACACACACATTACAGTTACAGTCATTAATAAGCACATCAAACCTCATTAACACACCCGGTGATGCACAAACATGATTTTAAACGTCAGAAATATTGGATTTGATATGGCTATTTCCACTGCTACTTGCACAAGATACATACTGCTTAAATGAGGCCCACTGTGAGACTAAAAATTCGGCTGCTCTCAACACAAATAAAGTGCAATACACAACTCTGTGTCCACCAGCTGCTGCTGCTGACAAGCAAGGCTGTAAATGGCCTCTGGCACCAAGTTCCATCCAAATCTCAAATGGATTGACTCAAGAAGTGCTACAACCTCACAGCGGTAAAGAATCTCTGAGTGGTTTACTTTTGATCTGCCGCAAGCTGCACCTGTTTATCTTGATAGCTGAAGATAAGCTGCTAAAAGCTTCCAATCTAATCTCAGAGAGGAAATGTGGTAGAAATGTGCAAACATGAAATATTCAATCTGTTGCCCCAGCTGGAAACCTTATTTATCTTGACATAAATTATGTTTCACTGGTTTGTGCTGGTCCTTTGGTTTAGTATGAAAGCAGCAGCAGCTGCCATGACAGCAGACATTTACTATTAGCATTTGATTATACTGTAGTAACCTGTAGGCCTGGAGTGGCATGGTTATTATATGGCATGATGGTTATATAAAGTGGGTCCACTCCACTTGGTGGGAGTGATGCAGCCATGTCCCTGAGTTAAAACCCCACAACCACCTCCATCTCTCAACCATTTGTTTGAATCCATTATTTGAAGGCATTTGAATTAAATTATTAACCACTACATAAAAGACAAAGACCAAATGTTGCCTGTTTTTAATCTCTCTGTGTCAATGCATCCACCTAAAGGATACCTGAATCTCATAATAGAGCCAAGATCAAATTTCACAATAGCATTACTACCACTACTACTATCCTACTACTACTATTACTACTACTACTACAAATAATAATAATACTCGTGGGTCTGTACCGAATCTGCTGTGGTCCTTCCTGGTTCCCTGCACGGTGCCGTCGGGATGGATCTCCAGGTGGAAGCCGGTCCTGCAGTAAAGCTGCCGCCGCCTCAGGATCCCTTTGAGGTGGCTCAGGTCCGCCAGGCTCCGGGACAGTCTCTCCGCGGACACCAGGTGCTCCTGCTGCTGCCCCTGTCCCCCCATCATCAGTCCGCTCACCGAGTTGTAGTCCACCGCCCCGGCTGGGGTGAGAACAAAATGAGAGCCAACGGGAGCCGGAACGGCGCCCGCGGGACCAAAGCTGTCCAGAAATCCGTTGACGAAGCTCCCAACCTCGGCCGCTGCCCCCATCACAGACTGAGAGAACCCGACGCCGGTTTGCGCCGCAGGAGGATCCGAGTGATGAGCAGAGAGGCTCCGTGTGCGAGCGAAGGTCAGCAGCCCGAGAAGCCAAGAAAAAGAAAAGTTAAAGAGAAAATCCCAGATGAGTGCGTGTTCTGGCGCACCGTTAATCAGATTGTCATCTGAGTGAGATGAAACTCCTGCGTTATCTTGATGGATGTGGACTGTGTAGGTCCGTTTGCAGCAGCCCGTGTCCCTTCTTCTACTCCTCTCTCCAGCTATTTATTCCTCTCTCTCCTCTGTCCGCTCCCTCTCTCTCCTCTTCACCTCGGGATACTCCCCTTTGCTCCGGAGCACATCAGGGTTTTCCTCTCTCGCTCTCTCTCTCTCTCTCTCTCTCTCTCCTGGTATATTCACCTCAGCCTTTTATTCCTGCGGTACTCTCCGTTCCTCCAGCAGCAGCGGCGCAGTGACACCAGTGCACTTGGCTCCACGTCCAGCCAATCTAACGCAGTGCTTCATTTTCACCCCGAGTTGCCTTTTTATGCAAATGCGGCCCCGATCCCCCCCCTCCCTCCCTTTATGGCCCATTTCTGTTCCGCTTCATCCTTCTGCTGCTCGTTGTTCTCCTGTCTCACCTTTGATGTTCAGTTTCGGCGCACAGAGCGCAGGGACTTTGGGTGGAAATTAAAAACTAGTATTTAAAACGAGCCTCACAGCCTTATTTCGGCACTGTTTGCCCTCTGGCTGCACAACTGTCCTCCTGACGCTCAAGTGTATGAAGCACACTGTCAGACACTATTGCTCTTGATCACTTCAGCCAGTGCGCATGGTTGAAACTGTGCGGAGTGCCCCCCAAACAACTTGTGTGCGAACTGGACACGGCGAGAAAGAGAGAGTCGCCCTGCGTGTTTGTCAAACAGCATGAAAGTGATATCGCCATTAACCTAAACGCTTTACAACTCCACGCCCCCATTTCGAAATGACTCAGGTGCGGCGAGAAAGAGCGAGGAAAGCCCCCATTTGCGTAATTTTCGCACTCGGCTGTTGATTTATTGCTCCTGTTTTATGTAACGCAGCCGCACGTTTACAGCGCCCGCACAGACACAAAATACACACACAATCATGCACCCACACACACACACACACACACACACACACACACCTGTGCAAACGACATCACTTGACTGTCAATCCCTTCATTGATCTTTTCACGACGCTTTGAACAGCGCAGCAGCCCATATATATCCTTAATTGTGGTCTTAAAAGACGAATCAAAGACACAGAGGCTTCAAAGCGCAGGGATCTTGTAAGGGGATCAGGGAAAAAACAAGCACAAGAAGGGAACAGAGCTACCTGTTTGAACTGCATGGCTTAGAAAATACCCCGACACTTGACACTTGAAGGACTTCAGGGGAGGAAAAAAAACAGAAGTAGCAGTTAAAATAGGCGTAGTTTATTACCCATAGCTAGATTTTTTAGTGATTATGAACAAAATATAATGAACATAATGTTGAAATTGGCCCCTTGGATGCAAGAAAAAGCATTTACACTTGTGAAAATTTACATAGGGTATTTAATATTAGACAGAAATTGGGAAAATATGGAAATACATTAACGAGGCATTAAAGTTTACGCATGGTTGCAGGTTTATAAAAGTGTCTAGATTGCTAATTGATATTAAAAATCGGACTATTTTTTGCTCACAACGTTCTTATTATATGCATTTTCCTTGTTTTCCTCATAACACAGCCTGCTGTTCAGTGAGAGAGTTGTGTTGCTTGACTATAGTAGGTCAAACCGCAGTTTCCATGGCTGAGTTTTTTTTATATATATATATATATGGAAGCCGAGGACGCAGGGTCCCATGTTCCAGCCTATATGGCATTGATTTTGGCAGCTATACAGACACAGGCTCGTGCACACGGCGTCCCCCCTCCCCTGGGAGGGCCGTTGATAAATGAGTTGAAGGTGCAGAGGTGTTGGTGAACGCACGCGTGTGTGTGGTCGCCATACGCGCGTTGTTTTGTGCGCATTTTTGCAGCGTGACAAAAAGGTAGGAGCGTCACGGGTCAACGGTAGGCCTGGGTTTTTTTTTTTTAGACATATTTGTTCCAAGAGTGCACGGGATTTGTGCACGAGTGTGAGAAAAAAAAGAGGAACTGGGAGGGGATCTGTGCGTGCGTCCTTCTCCCCTTTTCCCTTGATTCATTAGTATTTATGACCAAAAAAGAACTTTTTTTTTTTTTTTTTTTTTTTTTAAGGAGACAGGATCGATCGGAATCGCCTGAGGCTGATCAGATCCCGATGAAGCCTATTGAATATCGACCTGGCCTTCAGTGAAGACGTCAACTCCAACTCCTCACACACAAGGTGAGCAGTTCTCATGTTTTTTTTTGGCTTTAAATTACAATTTCTGGGGGTATCTCGCTCCGTTTTGTGGCACTGGGACAGAGAAGGAAGCCAACCATGGAGCGACCACAGCAGTCACTGAAGAGGAGGGTGATGAGGATGGAGGAGGAGGAGGAGGCCCCCAGGGTTACACCCCCACCCCTCACCCTCCCACACATAGACACACAAAGAAATCACAACCTAATCGAATGCCTGGGTAATGGAATAACTGAATAAGTAGCCTAGAGGTTATTAATGCAAGTGGTTTCCAAACTGGGGTCTGGGGAACTCCAGGGGGTCCTTTAAAGCAGGATTCAGAGGGCCCCCTAGCAAAAATGTAGACATTAATTTCATCATAATTTGACCTCCTGTATGTCAATTAGAAAGCACATAAGAATCTGATTTGAAATTTAGATTATACTTTTATATTCCTGTATAATAAAAAAAAAAGGCTTCTCTGCCATCAGATGAAGAATCTTTAATGTGGTTCTGCTTGGAGCTCCGTAAATATTTGAAAAGTATTGAGTGCTTGTGAAAGATATCAAATCAGATGAAACAACTGCGGTCATTTACAAGTTGCATCAAACATTAATCCCATCACAGTCAACCTGTTAGGAAATATTACACTGATTAGTTACCATGATGCACTAATCTAGTTTGGGCCTACGAACAAAATAAAAATCAAAGGAACAAATTAAGGGTTTAATAGCCGTACTCGGCCCTTTAAACGGTTTATTTCTACCAAGGGGTTTTGATAGTCAGTGTTTGATGTGCCTTCAACTAAACGGTAGAGTGATCCGCCGTGCTTCATGTGTGAACAGGTGACGGGCCCATCTATTAGACTTCTTCCCTTTATTCTCTCAGCATCAAAGTTGCCAGAAAAGCCCCATCAGGTTAACATTAGTCCTACATGTAAAGACTTAAATGATGAGTTCATCTTTGATATTTGTTTGATATCTGCGCTCTGTTGGCTCCTTTGATGCTGCACTTACCAGTGGGAAATCTGATACCGGACTGACCCTCAATGAAAAGTGAAGACTGACAAATGTTGAAATCATTGGTCATTTATAATTCCTCCCCCCCGTGTAAACTGAGATGTCTTTTATGCTAATCCCAGGATGTTGGGATATTCACCTGCCGTAAGATACTTGGGGTAATATTAACAGATGTTGCTGAATGGGTTTGAACTTGATTTTGGGGGATTTTTTCACATGTTTCACAGCAGCTGACTTGCCAGTTTCTGAGAAAGTACTTCAAATATACTAAAAAAAAAAATATTTAAAAAACATCATGAAGGAATTTAGGAAAACCAACTCACCTTTTCTAGTTGACCTGAAGTAAATATGAGTTTTGCTTATTTCTAGTTAACTGAACCTCTAATTTTGATCTTCAGACCAATTTAGAACTTTAAAACACGAGTTCTTATAACTTGAGGGATTTTCCTTTCAAATGATCACTTGAATTAATGAACTGCTGAGCGTTCACTCAACTCATTAAATTGAGTTTGTAAGACACACAACTAGCATATAAGCAAACTGCCCTGTTAGAGAGTTTTAAAAAAAACCCACTGATGCTTGTTTTTTATAGTTTGAGAAAACAGACATGATGGAAACCTAATGTGTGTCTACGTGTTCAATTAAGCTCTGTTTTTTTCTTTTCTTAATGATCGAAGCAATTTTAACCACGACAAAGGATAGTACTGAATTAAGTCGCTGTAGATTTATAATTTATCCCACTGTAATCAGCAGCAGCTTCACATATTGTCTTTGTACTGACGGAGATCAAAAATGGCTTCGACAGCTGAGGCTGTGTGTTGTCAATGTCAATAAAGTCTTTAAACTTAAAAGATGTAAAAGGAAAGTAAGTCTGTCTCTAACAGTTGTCTGTGACTAGTTCATTCAAATTACAATGTTAAATTCACTGAACTTGTTGTCTCATTTAATTTAACTCAGCTTGCTTTACACTTTCACAACTTAGAAGATGACTTTTAATCAATGGACATGCAGCCAACTTGTATTTCAGTCAGCAGGGAAACATACAATTCTAAGTTTAATGAATATATTATGATCTGTGGGCTGTTCCAACTTTTTTCTACATTAAAGTTAGTTATCTGAATGCCTCACTGCTTATCCACTTTCCCCAGGTAAAATATGAAGCTGTTGCTAGTATTACATAAAATCTGAGTGTTGTACTTTGTATGTTTTAATAGCCTGCATATAAGACTTTTTATAATGCGGTAGTCTGTCATAATCTTTCCTAGCATTAGTAGGCTAAGTAAAGAACCTGAATAGCAGCTCAGACAGTTTATTTATAAGCACAGTGTCTGACCAAAATGTTGTACAAAGAAAAGAACAATTGTAACAGACGATGATAAAACAACATACACATTAAAAAAAAATAATGTTTGGGATAAGGAACAAACCAAAAACACACACTCTTCAGAAAGCAGCATCCCTGAAGGAAGAACAGACAAATAAAATACCTGATTTGTTTTTCTTACTTCCATTACACCCGTGTCCATTACACACTAAGAAATAATGTTTGGGCACAAAACACTTTGCATCCATCTTTATGAGTTATGACAATGTTCAGCCATGTTCAGGGAAGTTAAGGAAATAACCTTTTCATCTACAATCAGAGATATTTTTTTTAGTTACCACGCGTAACTGTCAGAAATCTGAACTAACGCTGAAGAAAAATTAAGTTATCAAGCCAGCTTATTCAGTTACCTCAACTTGAGTTTAGTTTCAAAACAACTGATGCAGAAATTTTAGTTTAAATTACACACACTATTAGGTGGATGCAATTACCAACAGTAATATGTCAACCCAACATATTAAAGTCATGTTTGCAATAAGTAAGTTAGATTTTTCTGCTTGCAGCCGTGCATTTAATTCAGTGTGTACCTTGATTTACAAAACAAAAGCATGACACCGGCATGGCATTTACATACTTGTTGTTACCTGTGTTGTTTTGATTCCTCTCTTGTTGTTTTGTTCAGGTTTTAAAAGCCAAAGTATAAAATTGTGCTTTCAGTTCCACATTTTATGAGCAGCTTCTACTAAGGCCTCAAGAAGATCAGGAGCGTCAGTAATAAATAGTCTAAAAAAAAGTTTTCCGCTGATGAATTGCACTTTTAGAGTTTTTTTTTTCTCTTGTTTTCACTTTAAAGAGTATTTAACGTCCCTGTGATGTTAGTATAATGAGACTTTTAATCCTACCAGTACACTGGTTTAATTCTGTGTATTTATTTCATCCAAACAAACGAACAGGTCACGTGAGTTCACACAGGTTTATATTGGACTACACTGAATGCTGCGTGTTTATTATTGACCTCGCTGTGAATTAATGACTCGCTTTGACTCAGTGAAGCATCAAATCCTGCTCTCTGACACTGAGACTTTGCTCTCTCAGCCTCACCATCAACACTGTGCCCGCCGCACATCTCGCGATGAAACCGGGGGAACGCGATAGTTTTGAGCTGCCCGCAAACTTATAACCGGAGCAGCAGCAGCAGCAGCACCATGGCCGCTTTCCGCAGAGTGGCAGCGGCGGCGGGCAGGCTTAACCTCTGGTCGGCGGCGAGGAGCGAGCTGGTCGGCGGTCAGACGGCGAGTGGAGGCAGGGCTCGGAGATGGCTGGCGGTCGGGACGTGCGTCGCGACCGGAGGCGCCGTGGCTCTTTACTTCTACGGTGATATGTGGAGCGACAGAGAGAGGAAGAGGATGAGGAGGCGCAGCATCAACGGTCTGCTGCCGTCCATCCCGACGGTTGAAGCCAAGGAGAAGGTAGGAAGCTGAAACCGAGTCGGTAGCTGCTAGCTTGGTGCAGATTTGTTGACCGAGAATGTGTCATTGTTGACATAGAGGGGGCCTCGGCGCGGAGGGAGGAGGCAGGGAGGTTTTTTTTTTTTTTCACATTTCCTTGGGTTAAAATTAGCCAGACACAGGCCCGTTTAGGCGGGCCCTGCCTCTGCCCTGTAGCCGTGGTGCTGGGGAAGTTTTCGTGTTTTTCTCTCGTGTGTCACATCACGCCCAGTGGAAACACTTCGCTCACTGTTTGGCTGCGGGGCCGTGTGCGCGCGCAGACGCAGCAGCAGCAGCAACAATGGCGCTCTCCGCTCGCGCTGGTGCTGAAATGACAACAAGCCTGAAGATGTGACAGTCACCGAGACAGATGTGTGCAGATGTGTGCAGGGACACATCATGGCATATCTCCCGTCCTGATCACTAGATACAGCCAAATTTGACTTGCTTCCAGGTCCTTGTCTTGGTTGATAGTGAGCTTACTGATCCTTAAGTAGTATTGAAATATATTTTCTGCTCTGTGGAAGTTTACTGAAGTGGTTTCCAGGGGAGATGATGTAATATTCTGACAGTACAAAGTACAGTAGGCCTCTGTGGATTTTTTAATGGAAGATACACACACAAACAATGCTTCACTGGTAAACACAAGAGCCTGTGGAGGATTGTCCCTTAGTTTGAATAAAAATAACAGAAAAAGAAGAACAGGCAAACAAACAACAAACTCCACTTGTATATGAGGGTGTTTTAGCAAGTTCTCAGCCTCACCTGAAAACTCCTATTTTGGGGCTATAAAACCACATGCGTTTGCCAAACCATTAATTAGGCCTTCAGTGTCAAAGAAAACATGAGGCTCTGCAAGGGTCTGTATGGCCTAAATATTGTTGTCTCCCCACGTCCATGAAATCTGTGCGACAACCCCTCTGTACATGTTTGTTTACAGCCCAAAATTTGCATCACATGGTGACTACGAAGTTCTTGCCTTCATCTGGAAACAGGGGGCATAACTCCCACTTCTGGGCATAACTGCATACTATAAAGCCGTATATCACTGTGCACAAAACTCAATTGTTTGTCGTCAATGTTTTTGCAAGGCGAGGGAGGTTTTGAGCTGGTGTGATGTTGCTCCAGGATAATGCTCCCATCCAAACAGTACAGGTGACAGAAGCAGCCAAATGGGGCTTTGAACTGTTGCCCCATGCACCTTGCTCACCCAGCCAGTCACTGTCTGACTTCTGTCCATGTCCACAAACTGAAATCCCACTTGCTAGGTCATTTTCAGAGTGATGAAGAAGTCAAGCATGTTGTTGAGGAGAACCTGAAGGCTCAAGAACATCAGTGAACCAAGTGTATTGAAGTTAAAGGATACTATGTTGAAAAAATAATGCAAAAACAATCTTTCTCCTGTAACATTCTCTGGTTAAGAACTATGGGATGTGAGTTGGACAATAATATGGCTTCAGTGTTGTACACTGTAGACAATAACACCTCCAGCATACAAAGATACACCAGGTATGCTTACGTTCCCAAAATCCATTCAGTGAGTACTAGAAACCCTGTAAAATACATGATTACAATAAACGTGTAAGCACATGTAAGCACAAGTTAGCCAACCAAGACAAAAGCTATACAAACAAACATTATGTATTAGGCGTCATTTGACTGCATTAAAGCTTTATTCAGACATTCAGTAATGGGCTTCCAGAACTTGTCAAAGGAGTCAACACTGCCTTTAGGTGAATCACTGAAAAACAATAAATTCAAACATTTCCCTCTGAGCAAGCTCTTTGACTACAGTTGGAACTAACAGGAATAATTCCAGACAGAACCAGACTCGGGGAGGGCAGCCATCTGCCCCAACCGGTTAGGTAAGGTTAAAAAAAGAAAAGCAGCAGATATGAACCAGACATGAGAGAAAAATAAACACTTTGGAGCTGGGTGATGCCAGTAACTATTGATCTAGTCTGACTTACCGAATGTAGATCGTGGGTATGAACCTGCCATCCTCCCCTTCTGCTATCAACATGTTACTGTTTTCAAAACCTCCTTCACTACGACAACAACAACCTCCAGGCAGCAACATACCACACTGAAAATTTCAAGTTTTGCCAAATGTTTGGATCAGAGAATCAGCCTTTTTAATGATGGGGCTTACCTCCCTGCATTCTATTTTGACTGTGAACATCATCACTGCATCATGTTCTTAACCCTGCTGCAGATAATTGTGATTAGTTAAAAGAAATACAAACATGGCAGAGCTTTTTGTCCCTCCTATATCAAAATGATGATGAGGTGCAACCAGACATTCTACACTTTGCTGTGTCAGCAGGAGAAAAGGGTTTGGCTTGAATACTGCTGAATGAAATCAGAGACACCTGCAGACAGGACAAAACACAAACTAGAGGAGATAGAAGACATGAAGTTAGTGACATGCATTGGTGGTGTATGACTATGTATGTATCCTGGGAAATCCCTTAGCAGCCCAGACCTCTTACAGCATAACTAAGGGAGGTTCAAGGTCACCTGAGCCAGACTTAACTATAAGCTTTGTCATAAAGTAAAATTATACCTCAAAATTAGAGCGATTCCAAACCCAAACTGGCAGCTGGTTCATCATTCATGTACAAGGTCATAATGAAGGTGGAAGTAAGTTTAACTTATTATATATTTGGTGGTAGAAGAAGCACATAGATCTTTTACATCATTTCAGTGATTACTCCTCAAAACACAAACACTCCATTTACAAATAAAAGTCCTGTGTTCATATTTGTATTTAACAAGGCAGCAAAATATATAGAAAGTATCAAAATTGAAATTACTCATTATGCAGATTGATCCTTGTAAGAGTTAGTTTTCTTCAAATCATCATTTTCAGAGCAGCTGTCTGTGAAGATTCTCAGTCATCCAGGTCATAGTTATTCTGGTAGATTAATCATAGCCACTGGACTTACTTGAGACATTTCACCTCTCATCCAAGAGGATTCATCAGTTCTGAGTGACTAGTTGGGAGTTCCAGATACTTACATCCGTAAGGAGCCATTAACACCTGAGTTTTGGTTTGAGTTGGGGATTTGTTGCTGCTCCCCCTTGACATATTAGTCGTTAGTGCTCCCCCTACCACAAAGGGGTTCGTTAGGGTCTATTGTGGCTAGGTGTGAATGTAGTTTCATATTCCTGGGAATCTTAGGAGATCTTAGGACTGAATTGTAAACAGGTGAGAGATGATGCCTCAGACCTCCACCTCCACTCAAAACCTGTGACTACCCAAGCTGGTCTTTCATCAAATCCTCTACAAAACCCAGAGGAGATAGAGAAGAAAAGACCAAGAAACAAAACAACAAGTCATCCCCTATGTTGCAGGAGTTTCTGAAAAGCTCAGGAGGATTTTCAACAAACACAACATTCCAGTGCACTTCAAACTCACCAACACCCTGAGACAGAAACTGGTTCACCCTAAGGACAAGACACCGAGACACAAACAAAGCAACGTGGTGTATGCAGTCCAGTGCAGCGAGGAATGCCCAAATCTGTACATCGGGGAGATAAAACAACTGCTCCACAAGCGCATGGCTCAGCACAGAAGAGCCAGCTCCTCAGGACAGGACTCAGGAGTCCACCTGCAACCTAAGGACAAAGGACACTCATTGGAACACAATAATGTACAGATTTTGGCCAGAGTGGACAGATGGTTTGAGAGAGGAGTGAAAGAAGCCATCTATGTCAAACTGAAAACACCATCCGTTAACAGAGGTGGAGGTCTGAGGCATCATCTCTCACCTGCTTACAAATACAGTCCTAAGATCTCGCCCCCGGAAGATGGGACTACATTCACACCTAGCCACAATAGACCCTAAGGAACCCCTTTGTGGTAGGGGGAGCACTAACGACCCACATAACGAGGGGGAGGAGCAACAAGCCCCCAACTGAAACAAAACTCAGGTGTTAATGGCTCCTTAGTGATATAAGTATCTGAAACTCCCAACTTGTCAGTCAGATCTGATGGACCCTTTTGGATAAGAGGTGAAAGGTCTTCAAGGATCTCAAGCAAGCCCAGCTGCTACGATTAAACTACCAGAATATCAGAGCAGATAACATTAAAACCACAAACTTCACATTGATACCAGCTGCCTCAGTTATTAACCACGCTGATACACAGTGTTTTGTTAAAAATGCATGTTCACCATCCATCCATCATCGATACACCGCTTAATCCTCACTAGGGTCGCGGGCGGGCTGGAGCCTATCCCAGGGCGAAGGCAGGGGACACCCTGGACAGGTTGCCAGTCTATCACAGGCCTACACTTATAGACAGACAACCACTCACATTCACACCTACAGACAATTTTAGAATCACCAATTACCCTCGTTGGACCTCGTGGGAGGAAGCCGGAAGACCCGGAGAGAACCCACACTGAACGAGGAGAACATGCAAACTCCACGCAGAAAGATCCTGGATGTCCTCACCAGGGCATGAACCGGCGACCTTCTTGCTGCGAAGCAACGGTGCTAACCACCGAGCCACCTTGTAACCCGTATGTTCACTAGGACTGCGCAATATTGGAGAAAACTGCGATGTATATTGTTCTATTAAAAATAACCTGGATGACTGCATCTGCATACAAAATAAATAATATATTTAAAAAACCTCAAAAAAGCCATTTGGAAGCTTTTCTATATGAGTGGCATTCAGATCAGGCTTTGTACTGATCAAGCTTTGTGGTGCTGACTTAAATGGCTAAGCACATTATTCGTACTGCTGGAATTGGAACAGAGACGTTGCAGTTATTTCACATGCTCTGTAGCTGTTTGGCTCCAGAAAATCCATCCATCCATTATCTATACACCGCTTAATCCTCACCAGGGTCGTGGGGGGCTGGAGTCTATCCCAGCCGACTTAGGGTGAAGACAGGGGACACCCTGGACAGGTCGCCACACTTAGAGACAGACAACCAAGCACACTCACATTCACACCTACGGACAATTTAGAATCACCAATTAACCTCAACATGTTTTTGGACTGTGTGGGAGGAAGCCGGAGAACCCGGAGAGACATGCAAACTCCACGCAGAAAGATTCCAGTGCCCCCACCGGGACGCGAACCGGCAACCTTCTTGCTGCGAGGCGACAGTGCTACCAACTGCGCCACCTTGCAGCCCGCTCCAGAAAATATACAGCGTTAGTTAAATCTGTCTCTGGTATATTGAAATGGTAGATGTTTTCTTTGTAGGCCTGCTGAAGTGAACTGAGCCCATTGGCTCATTGGAGGGTTGTCAAACAATTTTAAAGCAGTGAAGTATATGCAGGTGGCAAATGTAAGGTTATTTCTTCTCAGCAGGGTCAAGTTGCCTGTTTGGTGTGAAGAAGGAATAGCCAGTTTAGAATCATGAAAGCTGTGGAGAAATTAAAATTCTAACATTCTTGAAAATACAATTCTGGCAACAAGAAAACCGTACAGCCATGAAAAAAACAGTAGGTCAGTTGAGGCTCCAGGGATCTGGATTTGAGATACGTGCTCGCAAGAACATCTGGTTTTGAGGAACAGACTTCAAGGGGCCCAGAAGCATGAGGTGGACAGGATGACACTTAGCTAATTGTGTCTCAAGTGACAGCATTTCAGGCAGTTTTCTGTGCAGCTTTGTCCCCACCCCGAAAAAGGTCAAACAATATTATTTATATATGCAGTAGTACTCCCCAACACCTGTTAGCAGATTCTGATCTGTAATCTGTAACGGGTGGATTTCCCCTTTAAGAGGCTAGTTAAAGCGACAGAGAAAACTGCTGCTTCCTTGGTGGAAGTGTGGGATCAAGAAAATGAGCCGACAAGGAGTGTTAGCAGCTTTCTGACACCTGAGATTTAAGAACTGGTTTATGTCTGCTCGGACGTTAGGTGGCTGAATGGTACTGTAATTTAACTGCACTGAGATACTTAAACTTGATGTCAGGAAGGAACACAGGAGAATTTAAAGACAGTTTAACTGAGAAAGCCCAGGAGAGCTGCAGCTGTGAAGGGAAAATACTAGGTTGCCTAAGGGGAAAACACCTGGAGCATCTGCTGTGCAGTCAAGAAAACCAGAAAAGGCAGCTACACAAGAACACAGTGAACCACACTGAATTTACAGTCTTATCACTGCCATTTAATATATCATTTTAAAAGGGGCTTATAATACTTTTTACATCATGTCGTGCAGCATGGCATGTGACCCGAGCTGCCTTTGCAAAACTTCACAAACTTCATTCATTAGCGAGAGTCAAAGCCACGGGAGTCTGAGCTCCTACACTTGATTACAGTGCATTCCCATGAAGCCAGGCACTCATCTCCTATTCATGCCTTCAAAAGCCCCCTTGGCGAAGGCGGCATCAAAGCTTTATGAATGAATCTGTATTCTCATTAGTATGTTAGCTGAGCTGAGCAGGAACCTCTGTGCGCTGGGGCCTGCAGCCAAACAGTTTTAAATTTGGAAACCTCTCTGCTAATTACACAACTTCATGCAGCACAGTCTTTTGGCGTAGCAGCTCTTCTACACTGCAGCTAATCAAGTTGAAGCCCTGGCTCCTTACAGAGAGAGAGAGAGATGCTAATCAAGTAGAAAGTAGTGACAAAGTATTTGTGTGTGTGTGTGTGTGTGTGTGTGGGTGTGTGTGTGTGCCCCTGCTCTCCTGTTATTGCGCTGCGCCAGAGGTGCCGACTCTATTTATAATCTCAGAGAGCTAAATGGAGAGAGTTGATGCCAAGAATAGATGGATCTCCTCATTATAGAGGTTCAAAAGCAGTGAGAAGTCACATACAGTTTATATTCTGCTGCCTGTGTGCAAGACATAGAGCTCAGTTGGCACAAAAACTCTCACAGCTATGGAAGTTGCAATAAAACTATGAGCACTGTGGCAATTTACTGTATGTGAGTTGTGGTTTTTCTGCTCCAGAAGTCAAATCTGATGCTTGAATAGTAAAAATAGCTTTGTGACATGTATAGCTATGATGTATACTTTTTGCATCACTAATATGATCTTCTCATAGTCAGCCCTTTAATAATGTAATAACCAGGATGTAAGTAATTTAGTTTGACTTTTGCTGACAGCCTGATTGATAGCTTGTTTAACCAGCTCGTCAGTCAGACCACTAAGTAACGGCATGCTTTATATTTTGGGTTTGTTTCTGCAGGCGCGTCCGTATGACTTCGAGGATGGAGACGTGTACATGTCTTCCCACGAGTATCGCTTCCGCATGTTCAGCTCCGTGGAGTATGAAGGACAGCTGTACATGACCCCGCAGAATTTCATCGAGTCCGTTACCATGAGTGAACCGAGAAGTACGTATCAGTCGCAGGAATTCGCTTTTGAATTTGGGTTGAGAACTCTGTGTCTTAGCGTTGTACAAAAAAAAATAAAAATCTAAAATGTTAAGCCCTTTGTCTTTATATATGAGACCCACCTGCCAGGAGAGCATGGTTTTTGGAGCTTTTAAGTTGTGTATGGCACATATTTGGGTTTACATAGTTGACTTTCATTAAAAAAAAAGAAAAAAAAAAAAGGGAATTATATGATATATGTAAATTGAATGTAGGCAGTTGTGTCATTTCTACATTTATTGATATGCACGTTTTAACTGATAGATTGGAATACATTTGCTTCTGACACTAAAATATTTGCTCTAATTTTCTCTTTCCCTCAGCAAACTACTGGTTTTGGTCACTTCCTCCATATTTACTCTTGTGTATATATATATATATATATAACTTTAAACTGGCATTATAAACCTCATACTGCTCCTTCAGCATCTTACAATATCATTTTTTCTGACCAATTGTTTCCAAACATTCAAATTTTGTGCACTTAGTTTATCCTGTTGGATTATACATTCATATAAAACCAACTGTGTTTAAAGTTTGTTGGTTTTCACCTCTGATCTGCCAGTACCAGGTATCATTTTTTTTTTTTTGGCATGTCTTTAAACACCTTAAAATTCTGGGTTTAAACACATCTTTGCAGTTTCTGTCAGCCTGCTGCCAGTCGTAACAGATTAGTCGTGGCCAGACAGCCTCAAAGCAGATGGCTTTACAGCTATTGTTTAGTCTGAGGTTAATGTTAGTCAGACACATGCACAGACGCACACATTCCATTTGTTCTCGTGTGCACTTTCTCTCACCCAGTAAATATCTAAACCGGACAATCAGCTTAAATTTTTCTCGTATGACCACTAGTTTTAAAATCGCAGCCTCAAATTGAGATTGGTATAAACAAACAAAAATAAAACTATTTCTTTCTTCAGGGGGGAATATGATTGTATTGCGTGCAAACTGTGCACCTGTATGTGCGTGTTTACATCTAGCCTTGGCTCGCTGACATATGATACAGCCGCACATACCCTCTTGGCAGCCGACATCCTCTAATGCCCCCTTTGAAGTTGAATTAGATGAACTTTGTTGTATAAAACCGAACAAAAGTAGTATGTGCTTTTACGGGGACATTCCATGTACTACAAAGACAAGCGCGGGGCACTTTAGACGGTACAAATGGGCCTGTGATGATGACAGTGTATATACAGTGAGCGTGTCTGCGTGTGTGTGAGTGAGTGTGTGTGTGTGTGTGTGTTGTGACTGTACCCGGCACATTAAGACCCATTTCTAGATCATACAGATACTATCTGACCGAGCCCACCCAAACTCTCTTCTCCTCTTTCCCTTCTTCTTCTCTCCTCTTTTGTCTCGTTGCCTGGCAGACAAGAGGCCCTGGAGGTCCCTGACCAAACAGGTGGGAGACACACTCGAAGTCCTTCTTTCTGCTGCTCCTGCATGTTGCAGTCGGACATCTGTTGCATGTTACATCTGTTGCAGGTTCTGTATACACTGCAAAGCTCAAATTCAGTTTTTCTAGTATTCTTGAGAAGTTTCTTCATGATGGTTCTACATGTGCATGCATTGCAGCTCTCTATAGAAGTCACGATACTTTCCGTCCACACTGGATGCAGTGCCAGGCTGGAAATTTTCTTTGCCTTAGTGGTACACAGCTTAACATTTTGGCTAATTTTAAGGTAATCTATCAAGCTGATGATATCTGTCATGAGTTTATTGCATTAGCCTGCACAGATCAGGCCACTTTTTTGTGGTATAATGTTGATTTAAAACAAATTAAATTTGCTTTTTTGCAGCGTTAAAGCATGCAGAACAAATATATATAACTACGATGGCCGTGATGTGTTCATCCAGCACAAATATTATAGTTTTGTTGTTGTCAGTGATCAGATTTGTTCATGGTATTTGAAGGTGACAATGGAAATGCAGGATATTAGGATAGCACAGTCAAGTTCAATGTTTTTTTTTGTGTGTGTGTGTACTCTTTTGACTTATACAACCATTTTGAATCCATTTGTCTCCTCTAAAAACATCTGCAAAGTGAATTTTAAAAAGCATTTTGAACCCTGCATTTATAATAAGATAGACAAGCTCTCTTCTCTCTTTTTTGCCTACTTACCCCATGTTTTACCTCCACCAGCTGTTTGTCAGTAGAAAAAGCATGGCTTGGATGTGCTACACATTTGTGCACACTTTGGCTTATACACACTAGTAAAATGTGGAAAAACCCACTCAAACATTGCTCCATTGCATAACATGTGGTGAAAAACTTCACCGGGTGCTGAAAAAAGCACAATCTTGTGGCAATTGACATGCAGGTTTATCATTATATTTAAAACACACATACTTGTTCCCATGTTTCTTAAACCAGGTGAAAATTTGGGAACAATTCTGCTCACTTGAATGCGTAATTATTATTAATGCCATTAGTTGCAATACCTGAGAAAATGACTGGTCAAGATAGATGCGTTGTAGTCAGCACTTTTGTCCTTTTCATGACATGCCAGCCCTCTGACTTGCCCCCTGTCTCTGTGTAAAAGCTGAAGGTAAATGCCTGTGCGTTGACAGTGTGTCTTACTTTGATTGTGTGTGTTTGCATCAGGAGCTGGAGAAGATCCTGACAGACACTCCTCCAGTATGGAGGGGATCCTCCAAACTGTTCCGCAACCTGAGAGAACGAGGTCAGACAGAACACACACATGCACACACACACACACACACACACACGCACGCACGCACGCACACGCACACACTTAAAGACCCTTAAATATGTTCTTTGTTGTTATCAGAGAAAATAAGTGATAGTCAGACAATAACATCGTCGATGAAGGTCACTTTACCAGGATTTGGAGCTTTTACCTCATTAAGTTTAATTATTATTGTAGATATGTTTAATATACATACAGACTGGTGACAAATTCAAGGAAAACCTGAACCCTTGGCCCTCACAGTTACGCCGTTGGGGGCTTTTTACTGACATGTCCCCTTAGAGAGAAGGGTCTCTGGAAATTCACACAGAGTTGTTCTCAGTGATCACTAGGAACATTTCAAGGTCTCCCTCATAATGACAATACCTCCATCCACAGGACACGGGAGGCTAACTAAATGGTTTGATGAGTGTGAATATGATGTGAATCATGTGCTACGACCTTCATAGTCACCTGATATCAACACAACTGAACACCTGAGGGAGGTCTTGGACCAAAGTGATAAACAGTGCTCTCCACCATCATCATTAGAACACCAAATTAGGAGCTATCTTTTGGAATAATGGTGTTCATTCCTCCAGTAATAGAGCGCCAGAGACTGTTTTGGAAGCACGTGATAACCCATCACCGAACTAAGATGGTTTATCCTTTAATTTGTCACCTGTCTGTATATAATTACTATTCCTTGTTAATAAGTGGATATATGCATCTATATTTAATATATATTTAAGTCCATCACAGTTATGCAGCTTTTCAGTTATGTGCTTGTGTCTTCCCGGGTATTTACCTTTTCAATGTATGATTAAATAGTATTTGTGAGTTCGTGTGTCACCGTAGGTGTCTCTAATCCGAGGTTGGTGCCATGCTGTTCCTCCTTACAGCCAAGCAACCTGCTGACAAATAATAAACCTCCTCTCCTCTCCTCTCCTCTCCTCTCCTCTCCTCTCCTCTC